TACAGCATATACAATATATAAAAATATATATACATTTGTAATTTAGTTGAAAAGTTCAACAATGAAGATCTGATGTTAGTTTTTTATGGGGGAGGGGTGGTAATAATAGGAATACGGATTTTGGTGGAGCACAGCATTGTGGTAAAAACAATGTTCTTACATACTGAAAAACCTGTGGAGCAAAAATGTACTTGGAATTGGTTGTGATGTGCACAAAATTCATGACTACATTCAAATGAGCTGTAGTATTCTACCACTCAAAATAGAAACTGCAATTGTCAAAATTTATATACATGCACAGAGTGTGTATGTACATATATACCAAGTAGTGTATGTGTATGTGTGTGTGTGTGTATATATATACATATATACATGTACTCTACAAAATTTTTGTGACAGAGCTGATGTTTAATCCTCAAATTTTTCAGCATAGCTGTATCTCTGTATTCCCTGTCATCTATTGGATTTTAGGAATGCCTGAGGCTTTGAAAAACACATTGTAAAGCAACCTAAATTTAGGTCACCTCATGTGCAAAATCAGTTGGAAAAATTTAATCAAATTATTCAATGAATGTAGCAGGAAAATTCAGCTTTTGAAACTTTTAGCAAGTTGCAATTACATAAAACAAAACTTGCAAAAAGGCAGAAACTCAAGTCTCTGCCTTCAAAAGCCAGGGAGAAATTGAACAGATCAAAAGATGAGAACTCAAATGGTTTAATTACCTAATATGAAAATATACTTTGGAAAAATCTTGACTTCGACAGAGCTCCTACTTGTAATTGGATAAATTTATATTCTCCACCAAGATGGGATGAAATTATGAAGGCTTATGATTTTGCAATATCCACATTTGGTGAAATGTTAAGAGGGATCACACAACGAGACAATGTAAAAGCTCTGTCCTGTAAAAATTTTGAAGAAAGGTGCTTTGAAATATAGCTCTTGTGAAAATATTGGGGCTGAAATATTTATATGATTTAATACAAAAAACAGAATTGAGAATATCTTTTATTAAGCAGATTTTTCTCTGAATTTATAGGTTCATGCGCATCTAGAGAGGGAGTACTTTCTCATTTAAAAATATTACAGTCTACAGAAAGGCATCAGTTAAATGTGTCAACTATTCCAAATATATTAACCATAAAATACAGCTGTGTAGGAGATAGCAAATTTATAAAATATATGTAATAACTTAAAGGAGAAGATAAAAAACTTTATTAAAATAGATGGCATAACATCATACTAAAATATGATATAACTACAGTGGGAATTATAAACTTTTAAGTGTTTTGTTTTTAATATTATAATTCATTAAACTAAATTCCAGCAATTAGTGACCACAGCTTCAAATATCTTTAAATAAAAATCTGGTCTTATGCAGTAAAATAAATAAATAAATATATATATATCATATAAACAAAAGACATTTTCAGAAAAAATTCTACATTGCAATGTCAGAGACAGCAATGATAATTAGTCGGTTCACACACCGATTAAGGTGTGTGAACCTATATCAGAAATCATTATCTACTTGTGCTGTTTTCAAATGTTCAATTAATATGAAACTCTTAAAAAATATTTTTGATTTAATGTTTATAGCTATCTGTCATTTAAAAATATTCTAGAAAATTTGGTCTTGAAATTAAGTTTTGAATGGAATTATTGTATAGTTCCACGAATATAATAAAACCAAACTTTTGGTGAACAAATACACATTTTAAAAAGTATATAATATTAATTATTTTTAGTAGCCCTTTCATTTTCAGAAGTGTTCCCAGTTTGAACAATAAATTATGTGGTCACTCTACTTGTATGATCTGGCCCCCTTTACTCTTTGCCCCTGTCTCACTGGTTCACTCTGCTCAGGCCACAGATGCTCCAGGGTGCCCTCCTTGCTCTTCCTTCTACCTGGACCAGGTTACCCCTGATATCTGCAAGCTTTTCTCACCTCCTATCAGTCCTCGCTCAAGAATCCCTTTCTCAGTGAGTCCTTTCCCGATCAGTATGTTTATCTTATTTATTTATTATTTATTTTTTAATTATTTTATTGGTTAATGAGCTTAAGAAGTGATCCTCTTGTTAAGTCTAGTACCCAGCTGGTACCATACATAGTTATTACAATATTATTGACTATATTCTCTATGCTGTACTTTACATCCCCATAACTGTTTTGTAACTGCCAATTTGTACTTAATCCCTTCACCTTTTTCACCCAGGCCTCCAAGGCCCCTCCCATCTGACAACTATCAGTTTTGTTCTCAGTATCTACACGTCTGTTTCTGTTTTGTTTATTTAGTTTTCTAGATTCCACATATAAGTGAAATTATATGGTATCTGTCTTTCTCTGTCTGACTTATTTCATTTAGCATAATACCTTCTAAGCCCATCTATGTTGTCATAATGGTAAGATTTCATTATTTTTTATGGCAGTCAATATATTTTTAATTGCCATTTCTTCCACCCCCAATTAATTTTGCATATTAATTAATTTATGTTTTACACATTAATTTGTTTATTATCTGTTTTTCACAAGGTCCAGGGTAGACAATTTTCGTCCATTTGTTTTGATTTGTTTTATTTTTTGGCTGCTACATTTCCAGTCCTGGCACATGATAGGTACTCAATGAATATTTGTTCAAAAAATAAATGCGTTGTGGACCAACCTTCCCTTAGAGTCCCACATTATTTCTTTTGGTGTGTTAAGTCTGATCATGTTAGATCCTTCCTCTATACGCCATCCTGTCTAGTTAAAGGGGCTTTTTGCTGACTCATTTTATGTGTTTGGTGGTTTCTATCTGAGTACTTCTCTATTTCATTGCTTTTAGGGCAGGGAGAGGGGCACCA